TGTTGTTGAGCAACAGCATCGGATGAGCCCTTAACTGTCTTCAACTGCGTACAACTGGCAGTTTTAACCCATTCTTCCACCCGACGTCGAGAAATTATAGAACTGGAACTCCGACTCGACCCCTTTTCACTAGCCAAGTCCTGCAGAATCTTGTACTTCTTGGCTAGGAATTGTCTGTGTTGTTCTGCTTCTTGCAGTTCAGCTACTCGCCGAAGTTCTGCTTCTTCTTGTCTGCGACGCTCTGCTTGCCGTTCTTCAAACTCCCTTTCTTCCTGCAGCTTGAGTAGCTGTAACTGGGCACGAGTTCGTGCGGATCTCTGCGACGATGAACAGGACACTTCTGAAAATGCCTTCTCCAACAAGATTTCCGGAAGTCCATCCACTGACGGCACGAAGAGTTTCTCCTTCCGTTGAACGTTGCGATTATTCCACTGAAGAACAGGTTCTGGTTTCTCCAACGGCACTAGGTCTGACTGCTTTTTCGACGGATGTGATTCTGGAACTGAGCGATTATCGATGGATCTGGATTGTACTGGAGGTTCGGACTGAGTGGACTTGTTCTTACCACTGGATGAACGAATAGGCGTAGTTGTTGTGACTTCCTTGACCGACAAAGTGCGTTTAGATGTATGCTCCTTTCTGGTATCCTTCGGTGTTGATCGTTTGTCTGAAGAAATCGTAGTTCGCTGGATCCATTTTGCAGTCTTGCAGTTGGTACAGCTCCAGCTCTGGTTGATAATTTCATCTGTTACCCCAACACAATCGTAGTGATGCCATCCGTCACACTGATCACATTGCACCATTTCGTCGGTATCAGGTCCTCCACAGCTCCTACAGGTTTGTCCATCGGCGGTCTTCTCCGTCTCGTCCACCACTACCACATCATCACTACCATTCTCCGTATCACTGTCACTAACCACACCACTTTCTACCGGTTTGGGCTGCACACTCTTGCTACCATCGGACTTTGAACCGCGACATGACATGCTCGCGAACTGATCGGTATTCGTGATAAACGAAAATTATATAATGTTGAATTTAATTCAACGGGACGTTTCCAAAGTTATTATTCCCGCCCGGATACAAATGAATAAATAGAATCCAATTGTTGATATAGCGAGAATATAATTTTCCTAAGTAGTAGGTAGAATACATAATCTTCATTAGATTCCATTCGTATAATAGTTTTAGTTGTATGTTAGCGTTAAGGTATCATTTTGCTCTAGCTTGCATATTAGCTTAGGCAATGGTACGAACTTGTTGTAAGTTTAATGTAATTTTAGGTTACTTACGTTTAGTTCCCTTTGTAAATTTCAACCTCAATCCAATCAATAGAGCAGCTGATAGTTTTAGCAGTAAGGCCTGGTAATCATATAAATAGTTTTAGCTAATAGTTTTTTTTTTTTTTTGTTTTTCCTCATATAAATTCATCGTCTTCATCTCTAGGAGCTTTCAGAGAAATTACTCTTACCGATTCTGGTAGCTACTTCAGTACATCGGGTGTAGCTCAGACGTAATGATGACAAAGGTATAAGGTTAGCTGTAGGTCCTAAATGTAAATAGTTGATATCTTTTAGTTATAAGTTTGAACTTATATATAACTCCTTACCAATTTGATCGTAGTGACTTTACACTAGTTTAGGTTTATACACTAGCTTTAAGTAATATAAATACACCTATTAATTAAGATTAACACTCTGTAGAAATTAGCATGCTTCTTGGCATGAAACCATCGTGTTTACACCTTTTTCCTTTTGTTCTACCGTTCTCTCAACTGTACTCACCAGACGTGACAATTACCTGTCACTTCGCTGTACTCGGAACCACCGCAGCAGCGCGCTACGCGTGATGCTGTCACCACCACAGTGTATGGGTTGAAGGTGTTCGCGCTGGCCTAATAGGGTGGGCCAACACTATCATTCGGCCATAAATATTAGATATAAACGCTTAATATTTGGGATAAATTGCGCTCCCGAAATCTTCCAGAAGGTTATGGAGTCTATAGTTGCTGGCTTAGATGGAATCATAGTTTACTTAGACGACGTAATGGGTGTTGGACGAACGCAAGAAGAGCATGATTGTCGACTTGAAAATTTACTTGAAAGATTTGAGCAATATGACATTCTTCTTAACAAATCAAAATGTGTCCTAAATGCAACACGAATAGAGTTCCTAGGGCATGAACTTTCAAACAATGGTATTCGTCCTACCGAAAGCAAAATTGATGCTATCAGAAGCTCTAGGGAACCCAGAAACGTTTCGGAGCTTCGCAGTTTTCTCGGTTTAATTACGTACATTGGTCGATTTATTCCGCATCTAGCTGACAAAACAGAGCCTCTTAGAGATCTTTTACGAATGGGAAATATTTTCAAATGGACGGATACACACCAAAATGCTTTTAATAATATCAAATCAACTATTTGTCAAACCGACTTTCTCGGCTACTTTAATCCCAAAGACTTGTGTATAGTGATAGGATCAGTTCTCTTGCAGCAAAACACATCAAATGAAACAAGAATTATCACTTTTGCCAGTAAAGCCCTTACGGATGTAGAGAAAAAGTACTTCCACACTGAAAAAGAAGCTTTAGCGCTAGTTTGGGCTGTCGACAAATTCCATTTGTATTTGCTTGGTAAACGGTTCAGACTAGTAACAGACTGTAAACCATTGAAGTTTTTATTCAAGGAGCGTACAAAACCAAATTCAAGAGACTTCAAGCCTATAGTTTTGACGTCGTTTATGAGTATGGAGTAGTCGAGCGATCTGCGAGCGATTGAGCGCTGTTGATAGTACCGGTAATCAAGAAAGGTGGAACGAACGAGGGAACGAACGATGGAGAAACCAGCTTGAAAGTCCGAATGTGTTTGGACGCGAGAAAGTTCAACGATAAGACTCGGAGGGATGCCTACCCTCTGCCACATCAAGACAGAATACTTGGAAGGTTGGGATCTGCTCGTTATCTCACAACAATAGATCTGTCTAAGGCATTCTGGCAGATTCCGTTAGACCAAGAGTCGCGTGAATAAACGGCATTTCGGGTCTTCGACAGAGGGTTGTTATAATTCACTAGACTCCCTTTCGGCTTAGTCAATAGTCCAGCCATAATGTCACGGCTGATGGACCAGGTACTGGGATATGATGAGTTGAAACCGAAGGTGCTCGTAAACGTAAAATACATCGTTCTCGGGCTGAAGGGCCTAAACGCCAAGGAGAATTTCCCTTTCCTGATCGACAGAGGGCGGCCTTGCCGTCGTCAACCGGCTTCGTCAGAAGAAAGCGCCTGTGCATCGGAACCATCTCCAGAAACCGCTAGACCAACCCCGGTAAAACCAGCCCGCCATCGCACTACAGTCGACGCTCGGTCAGCCATGCTTCATCCGCCATTGCCGGAATTGTACCGAAATTTCACCGAGCGGTGGTACCGCCATATTGCCAACAAGATCGGCCTTTAACCGTCCGCCATCGACAGAATCATTCCGGAATCGCAGCGAGCGCTCGCTGGACTGCAGTCGTCGTAGTCGCCATCGTCGTCAAGGGTTTGTGCCAGAAAATTGATGACAACACCACACAATCCACACTATCGTTAATTGGGAAAAACACAGTGTTTAAGTTGATCCGCGCTGTGTTTCAGTTCATTTGAAAGCTTGAGTGCCTTTTCGACCGCGTAGCCCCTCCAGTTTGCTCAGTAGTGCACCGACTCTGAGACACAGTTCAAGGAGTCTCGTCCTGCTGAGTTGTTTTTGGGCAGAACATTATTTTCACCACCAACATTATGATTATCAGGCTTGTGTCTTTACCACTGGTCCATCAACGCTTAAGATAATGGGTATGCTAAAGGAAAACAAGAAGCGCTCATAGTAACCAAACTGACCGTTTCCAACTGTGATCTGGTGGTCACTTAGAAGCAACGACTGGATAAAATATCAATAATCACCATTTACTGCATTTGATATAGTATCAGAACAAATCAAGGCTTAATTTGATCAAATTTACACAGCAATCAATTTGACAAATCCGAATCTTCTAGCGGACCATTTCGGGACCATTTGGAGCCAAATACCAGCTAATATATCAGCGAACACCATTTTCGTACAACGCATATAATTGCAGAAAATGATGAAAGTCTTCTTTGATCAAACTATCGTAGCAAATTTTTTAAGGATTTTCCGGATCTTCCGGCCGGATATCTGAAAACCACTTAGGTCCAACGACCAGCTAATATATAAAAAATCACCATTTTATACTACATTACATATAGTATCAGAACAAATCCAGTCCTACTTTGATCAAATTTTCACAGAAATCATTCTTACGGATATTCCGTATTTTTCTGCTGGTCATGTGATGACCACTCAAGCCAATGACCAGCTAATACATCAAATATCACCATTTTACTTCATTTCCTATGGTTGCAAAGAATGACCAAGGCATACTTTGATCAAAAATACATAATAATTAAAATTAAATTTGATCCGGTTTACCGGATGGCCTTCCGATGGACACTCAGTATCTAGAACCAGGTTGTTGGTTGGTTTTGTTAGAATATTAATCTGCACTACTCATAGATGCCTGTTGCTGTGGATTTCCAGCATCACCTTGTTCTAGACGAATGGTACCTTTTCTTACCCCCACCCCAACACCATCCATGGATTGAAAAAAAATCTTGACTTGTCAACTGAAATGCCTGAGATACCTTTGAACCATATGCACAACAGATTGGCAACATGTGCGTTTTAAATCAGACGAGTCTTACAAGCTACACCTATCACTTCTTGCACCTGTTCACCGGTCAGGCATGATTGATTTTCACTGGTAAAAAATATCTTCACCATTCTTGTGAATACCAATCGCCTTGGCTCGTGAGATATTACAATAGAATAAACCTGACATGATTGCAGTCACGTTTGCAATAAATCTTTTCAACTTTTCTGAAATCTTGTCTTGATTTGTGTCATCTTTTTGAAATGTGATGATGAATGATTGAATTTTTTTTCTCCCAGATTTTCGCAAACATTTATCGACATCAAAGAGAAGGAGAGAAAACGTGGCACAAGAGGACTGGTATCCATCCCAGCTAAGTATCCGAAAATTGTCGAAAGGCTTCTCGAGACACTTAACGATACAAGCGAACATATCCTTAATGGTACGGATACTCTGTTCCGCCCGGAGGACTTACAGAAACTACAAGATAAAATAGCCAAAGAAATTTCCAGCTCGAATCTGGACCCAAAAGAAATGAACGAACTACAGGTATATTATTTTTATTGTGACGAAAACATTTCTTTATAGCCTTCATTTTATTTCGTTCTAGGAAAGGATAAATAAAGAAATAACTAACTCAGAAGTATTCAACCTAAAACATTTCAATATATACGACAAACTTAAGAAGATGTTCAAAAAGCCAGAGAAAACACTCAACGGAGTTAAATTCAGTGCATCAGCAAAAGCGCGCGCGTTGATGAACCTGCACAATAATGAAGCCGGTAGAAGAGTAAGTATACTTACTTCTGCATTTCAGAATCTTTATAGATCTTAATTACACATACAATTTCAATATATTAGGCTATTATCAAAAGATCTCGCATCATTTGCAAATGTCATGGTGTGTCTGGCTCTTGTAGTCTCATCACGTGTTGGCAACAGCTAACATCAATTCGAGAAATCGGTGAGTTCTACCAGTTTTAAGTTTTCAAACTGGTATCACAGAATATTTAATAATCAATCTTCTATTAACAGGTGATTTCCTACGTGAAAAATACGATGAAGCGACCCAAGTAAAAATAAACAAGCGCGGTCGGCTGCAAGTGAAGGATCCTAGATATAAAATTCCGACACCTTTGGATCTTGTTTACCTAGATGAAAGTCCTGACTGGTGTCGAAATAACAGACAATTAAAGTGGCCAGGTAAACAAATATCGACTTACTAGAAATTTAACCCAACATAAGGTATTTTTTCAAGCGAATAAAAAAGAAATTTTTACACTAATTGATTCGGATTTTAATTGTTATTCAAGGACATTTTAAAAATATCCAAGGAAATTGTTGATAAAAATCATGTTTCAATAAGTTTATTACGCGTTCACTCTACACACCAGAGCGACTGCTGGAAAGGTTAAAAGACAATTCTCAATATTTTATACTTCCAGGTTTTGAGAAACACTTAAAATGTATCGTTAATATTTTAAAATATTTTGAGATAAAAAAAAAATATATTCGAAAAAACCAATCTATCTGCATGCATTTCTATCCGTATGCAATTCTGTATTCTGTTTTTTTAAATCTTCAGATGTTGGATTGAAACAGCTGAGTTTTGTGAATTACATGTTTTTTTTAACGTTATGTGTGATTTTTTTTGTTTCAATTAATTTATGTAATGCTCAATCGCGTTAGCTTAACGGAGCTGATATTTCATTGTTTGTAGTTAATACCACCGACGTAGTTGCAGTTAATACCACATCGCGATGGGAAGCATTCGCTTACCTGTTCCTTACTACATAAGAGGTGCTTATGCTAGCCTCAACACCAATCATACAGCAACATACAGAAGTAGCTGAGCTGCGCACTTCTCCATCGAACTAGCTGAACTGCGAGTGCAATGCAATAAAAGGGATATCGACTAATTACAACTACCTAGGGTAAATTATGGCTTCGGCACCCATTGACTGTTTTCGGCAACCGAAATTGAAACGTTAATTTCGCAGTATTTTCCCATCAAAACTCTTCGCTGAATGTATTAAGCCGATTCCTTAACTTTTCAGCTTCAATCAGATTACATTTTTACGACTGTGCAATCCTGTTATGCCATATTTTTATTTAAATTAAATATACACACTACAAAATACGGCTGATTTAGAGTTGCCGATAATAGAACAGCTGATTAACACGCAGTTACCCGTTTTGATCAATTCTGTCGATTGGAATGGGTAGAACAGCAAGCAGCAGATAAATGTCAACAAACAAACCTGTCATGTATGTGTGTGACGCTGAGAAATCACTAATAGAAGTTCGGACGCTGCTTAGACTGACGAGAATACGTAAATTCCCCTACATACTTCTCTCCCTTCCGCTCTCAAGATTCTTCTGTTCGGTGTCTCTTGTTGTGTGTTCTACTGAAACAGAGAAATATTCAATACCGCAAAACATCGCCGCAGTGATATTTTCTTGCGGCGCAGTTGATGAGCGGTAATCGAAAGTTAAGAATGTATCTCAGCATTTACAATAATATGCTAGCCAATTTCCGCGCGCGTATTGAACTGCAACCACATATACAGATTTACCTGTAATCATACAAATTTTTCTCAATATGTTGATACAGATATATATTTTTCAAATCAGCGGGATATATTTTTAACTCTGGATTATATTTATTCATTCCGATAAATTATCAATTCTAACTTTTGAGCAGCTACGAGCACCTTACCCAAATAGCAATTTTTTGCTTAATGAAATATTATTTTATTATCATCGTTAATTTTGAACGGACTTCTGATGTTCAGATATTCTGATTTCTGATTGCTCGTTAGAAGAGATGTTTGTTAATCTTTCTTATTATTTAATTAACCATATCACATAGTGGCAAGTGCTATATCTAATTAATTTTTTTGATTTGTTGAATCGGGTAACAAGCCGGTGTAACAACCCACAAGCTAATTGATTACATTTTGTGACTCGATTAGACAAGTGGATATTTTTACATTTGAATATCTTAATATCAGAATTAAAGAATATTCTATGCTATTCACTAATCATCCAACTTAAATTTTTTTGATTTGACCAGTGCTGAGGTTTGTCACTGTCATTGGCAGACTTTCGCGCGATATTGACAAAACTGTTTTTCACATAGTCACTGACAGACTTGATCCTCAAAAAAAACCTTCGTCAAAATCTTATTCATTTTTTCGTTAATGATAAAGATTCAGCTGGTAACAAAAATGTAATTTCGTGTATTCTGAGTCACATTATTGTTATCCAAGCAGACCAGGACGTACATGCTTGTTCACTTTAACGGCTCCATGTAACTGTGTTGCTCAGGCCATTTAATTTCGATGCAAATTTACGAAAAAATCTACACATGTTCGTCACTGACAGCATTATCATTGACAATTGACATGTTTGCCTTGACGATGACTGTTAGTTCAAATGAGTGACCAAAGCAGAATTGTCAATGTCACCGTGCATCGTCGAGATTTTGCAGCACTGGTTGTGACAAAATACAATAAAGTTGATAAAACAGCTGGCAAATTACTGAGTATATTTAGGAATAGATGCGACCAACAACAAGCGGATCCAATACCCTTTCAATCTGCCAGAAGCTTAGATAATGTTGAAATTTAGTTCAATTAGAAGATTTTGAGAATTTGAGAAAATGGTGCATCGAGCATTAAAATTTAGTATGAACATTTAATTTAACATTAAAAATATAATGTTAAATTTTCATAATCTCGGACATAAAAAATTCATACACTAGTCAAATGTAATTGTTACTTCATTAGAGAAATTGCAAAAGACTGTAACCGTTTGGTCACAAATTCAAAGGTTTTTGTCATTTATATTATATATAGACCTTTTTGACGTTTAATCATCTTTCTCTATCTAGCACACATGGATGAATGGACGGTTTATTTTCCCACTAGTCTGTTTCCCTCTTGCTTGCACTCGTTCGCTTTAAATGGTACAGTAGTGTGTGCCGATTAAACGTCAAAAAGCTCTATTCAGAACCTTCACGTTTCTTGTGCAAGAACAGCAGTATACCACAGAAATGATAGTCAGTCCGCATCGTGCTCTCTTGCCGCGCGGATCTATTTGCTTTTTGCTGAAGGAAGTGTTATTACTACCTAAAGCTACAACAAATTTAAACAGCACTTTTCAGTGCTCAACCTGTAAAATTTCTACCTTGTTCAACTCTTATTTCTCTTCGATCCTTGTTTGGACCCTACCCGAGGTAATCCTTCTTGGATATCGATTTGGAAAATTCCTCTTCGATCCTTCAGATTGTTATAGTAATCTGCTTGGAATTCGATTTGGATAAAAAATTTCTGCCGCCATGGCACCTAAACGCAAAAAAGGGGCAAACTCTTGATCCCCCTTCTGATGAAATTAATTTGAGTAATCAATTTGATTTGCTCATGGATGATGAGAATGATCCATCATCCAAGAAAAATTTCTAGTAAACTTTCCCGGCTTAATGCCAAAAAGGAAAAGATTCCCCCTATCGTGATAACCACTTCCGATTTCCATGCTCTTAGCATGGAACTTTTGAATTTCGTGAAAGTTAAGTTTTCACTACAAATTGGACGTCCGGGTGAATGCCGTGTATTGGCTGAAACCTTGGACGGATTTAAATGTCCTCTCAAGTATCTTACTGAGAAGCAGCACAAATTTTTCACTTACGACACCAAAACTGAACGTGTGTTCAAGGTTGTCATGAAAGGACTGCCCAGTGGTAAATCCCTGGATCAGATCAAAGATGAACTGGCAAAATTACTTGGAGTTGTGCCACACCAATCAAAATGAAATCCCGCCCTGGCGATTCGCGCAACGGGATTTCTAATGATTTTTATTTAGTTCACTTCAAGTCTAGTGAACTAAACAACCTTAAGGCCTTAGAAAAAGCTAGCCTTATGCTCCATGTCCGAGTGAAGTGGGGACACTTCAGGAAGACTGGAGGAAATTTCCAAAACCTCACTCAGTGCCGTAAGTGCCAGCTAAATTGCTACATGCCAGCTAAATGCATGAATTGTGGTGATTCCTCTCACGCAAAGGACGACTGTCCTGTGAAGGAAGATCCTAAGAAATTTAAATGTTCAAATTGTGGTGAAAATCACAAATCCAATTTTTGGGAATGTAAGACTCGAAAAGCGATCCTACAATCTCGTTCTAAGCGACAGGTAGGAAACCCTCCACGTTTCCGAACAGGTACAAATTACTCTGCTGTTAACAACGGTCAGCGAGGAACAAATTCTACATTCGTACCCGTAGGTACAAATATCACCCCTGCTTCAAATTTTTCATCTGTACCTACTCCCCTCGCTGCTAACAATGTTCAGCGAGTGAATGGAGCTACCTATGCTGCTATTGCAGCGGGTAGAAATCAAAATACTAACCAACGTAATTCTATCGGAAATTTTGACAATTTTGACTTAGGAAGCATTACTGCCCCTAAAATGGATTTTTTACAGAAATCATTGATTGACATGATTTCTGATATGCTTAAATCAAACTCCATGTTTGATGCTATTCAAACTGGAGTAAAATTTTCAAATAATATTGTCATGACTTTAAAATTCAGTAATGAATTTTAAAGCTTTAAATATTTTAAATTGGAATGCTCGATCTCTTAGAGATAATGAAGACGAGCTATTTAACTTTTTGAGAGTTCATAACGTGCATATTGCCGTTATAACTGAAACGTTTCTTAAACCTGGCCATAAGGTTAAGAAGGACTCAAATTATTTCCTGTATAGAACTGATCGTCCTGATGGACCCTGTGGTGGCGTTGCCATCATTGTTCATAGACGAATCAAACATAAAATTCTTTCTTCATTTGAAACCAAAGTTTTTGAAACTTTGGGAGTTTCTGTTGAAACAAAATTTGGACAACTTACGTTTATAGCTGCCTATTTGCCATTCCAATGCGTAGGCCAGCAAAAGAATTTTCTCAATGGTGACCTTCAGAAACTTACCCGTCATAGGTCTAAATTCTTCATTATTGCTGATTTAAATGCAAAACACCGCTCATGGAATAATGCTTAAAGCAATTCCAATGGTAATATTCTGTTTGATGATTGTTCTGCAGGTTATTACACTATTCAATATCCAAACAGCCCAACATGCTTTTCTTCAGCAAGAAATCCGTCAACTATTGATTTGGTCTTAACTGATTCATGTCAACTTTGTAGCCAATTGGTTACCCATGCTGACTTCGGTTCTGATCACCTTCCAGTAACTTTTGAAATATCCCAAGAAATAATTTGTAATCCCAACAGCTCTACTTTCAATTACCATAGAGCTGATTGGGAGCAATATCGAACATTTATGGAATATAACTTCGATCCAAACATTCGTTTGCAAACCAAAGATGAAATTAATTATGCTCTTGAATCTCTGACTTCTTCTATAGTTGAAGCAAGAGCTGCCTCAGTACGAAAATGCGAGGTTAAATTCGATTCAATTATAATAGACGACGATCTTCTTAAACATGTCCGTAGGAGACAATATCAAAGAACACGCAATCCTGCCATGAAAGTTATCTGGCGGGATTTGCAAAAAAAAACAAATTAAAAACGATTCTCTGCCTTAAGGAACAAAATAAATGAAAATAATGTTTCTAAATTAGACCCGAGTTCCAAACCCTTTTGGAAACTCACAAAATTTTTGAAAAAACCTCAAAAGCCTATTCCAGCGCTTAAAGAAGGTGGTAAAATTTTGATCACAAATTTGGAAAAATCTCAGAAACTTGCGAATCAATTCGAGAGTTCCCATAATTTCAGTTTGGGTCTTACTAGTCCTATTGAGAATCAGGTTGCTCGGGATTATCTGAATATTTTCTCCCGGGAAAATATTTTTGATGATCCCTGGGGGAGTGATTTGGACGAAGTAGATCTTTAACTAAAAAGTTTCATAATATGAAAGCTCCAGGTGATGATGGAATTTTCTATATCCTCATCAAAAAACTCCTAGAGAGTACCTTGTCTTTCTTGGTAAAATTATTTAACAGATGTTTCCATTTGGCATACTTTCCTGATAAATGGAAAAATGCAAAAGTTGTTCCAATTTTGAAGCCGGATAAAAATCCAGCTGAAGCTTCTAGCTACCGTTCAATAAGTTTGCTTTCTTCAATAAGTAAACCTTTTGAAAAGATAATTTTGAATAGAATGATGCTTCACATCAATACGAACTCAATTTTTGCAGATGAGCAGTTTGGATTTCGCCATGGGCATTCAATTAATCGGCCTCCCTTAGCTCAGTCGGTAAATGCGCAGCTACAAAGCAAGACCATGCTGGAGGTGGCTGGGTTCGATTCCCGGTTCGGTTTGGAAATTTTTCGGGTTGGAAAATTTCTCGACTTTCCTGGGCATAGAAGTATGATTGGACATGCCACACAATCATATCAATGCAAAAATGGTACAGGCATCGAAAGCTCTCAATTAACAACTTTGGAAGTGCATCTAGAAGACTAAGTTGAGAGCACGCAATAAGCTAATATGCGATATGCAATAAGCTTGAAATGCGAAGAAGAAGAAGACGATTCAACTACTCATCAACTCTTAAGAGTTACCAATTTAATTCGTTCAAACAAATCTGAATGCCACTCAACTGGAGTTGCTCTTCTAGACATAGAAAAAGCATTCGACAGTGTTTGGCATGAAGGTTTGATTGCTAAATTGAAACATTTTAATTTTCCACTTTACATTATGAAATAAGTTCAAAATTATTTAACTGACAGAACTTTGCAGGTAAATTATCAAAATTCCAAATCTAATAGACTACCTGTTAGAGCAAGAGTTCCTCAGGGTAGCATTCTTGGGCCTATATTGTATAACATTTTCACTTCTGACCTCCCTGATTTGCCTCAGGGTTGCCACAAATCTTTGTTCCCTGATGACACAGGCATTTCCGCTAAAGGAAGAAGTCTTCGTGTTATTTGCAGCAGACTGCAGAAAAGTTTAGATATTTTCTCTTCTTATTTACAAAAATGGAAGATTTCTCCCAACGCTTCCAAAACTCAACTTATAATATTTCCACATAAGCCTAGAGCGTCCTTTTTGAAACCTAGTAGTAGTCACATAGTTACTATGAACGAAGTTCCAATTTCCTGGTCGAACCAAGTGAAATATCTTAGATTAGTACTTGACCAAAAATTAACTTTTAAAGATCACATTGAGGGCATTCAAGCCAAATGTAACAAATATATAAAAAGTTTGTATAATCTTATAAACAGAAAATCCAAACTTTGCCTGACGAATAAACTTCTAATATTTAAACAAGTTTTTAGACCGGCCATCCTTTACACTGTGCTAATATGGTCTTGTCAACAATCCTCAATTGCAACGATTAATTCTCTTTATACTTAGATAAGATTTAGTTTTAGTTTTAAGTTTTAAGATATCAATTGTTATACTGACATGCAGGTTTAAAAAACCTGTTTAAAATACTGAATTACCAAGACAGGAACAATGTAAAAACACTTAGATATATATCATAACAATTAAGGCTGGTAAGTTACTGTAGTAACTGGAGCACCTAGGTTAATATGAAATGTAATTTATTTTGAATTTGGAACAAATAAAGAGTTAAAAAAAACAGAACTGAAAGGGTTCTGTACCGCTGTGAAAATGTTGTACCGTTACGTTATGTCCACCATAGAGCTACAAACAACTATACAAAACAAGGCTGACGGGCTGAAGGAAAATTGGAAGAAAGAACGGCCATTGCCCAAAATCGGCCTCTTTTAATATCGAGCGTCCGTGTGCTAAGACGCATTTTAATTAGCTAAGAGCAGTGGTTCCTGTTTTTGAACGTGAACCAGGACTCCCCCTAGCAACGTTTAACGTTCAGGTAACTAAATATTTGCATTTAACGTCCTGAATACCCTGCACCAAAAAACCGTAAATTAATTACGTATTCGTCCGACAGGACCTCTTTTATGTTGGACCTTAAAAAGGTCATCCGTCAGCACACGGCCGGCTCGTGAAATTGGAAACAGTTTCCGAGCCTAATTGTCAAGGACCGAAACATTATTATCTGGCCAAACGTAGGCTATAATCGCAAAGGAGTTTTCCCTTCTCGGCTTGACCAAGGTGGCCTTGCCACGGTCGACCGATCGTGCCAACAAAGGACGACGCCTGTCATCCCACCGTCCAGCAACGCCCGCTGGCCTGTCATCCGCTCGCTTCGCCAATCTGGTGAGAGTTCCGGCCGCACAGTAGGACAGGAGTCACTGTGTCGGCCATCCTGATTCACCATCAACGGCAGCAGCGGTATGTACCGGTACAGTGAACAACGCGATTAGGCTACACGACAAATACATACACGAAATTATGAACACAGAACAACACGCACATAATAGGGTAGAGCACTACTTCGTCGTAATCGCCCATTTCTGTTCTATCGACCAGAAAAGATCAATAATATCAATGATTTCACTGTGCACACATAAATAATAGGTTTGCTCCGATGCGTTAGTTCCTGCAACATAAATCCTGTTAGAGCGCATTGTATGAACATGCACGCTTATAGTTCTAAAAAAAAGAAGCGCTCCTAGCGAATCCCCTTTTTCTACGTTTATCCGTAGGAAGAAGAAAATCTACTGGCGTTTCAATGCGTTAGGACGGAATTAAAACTCGTAGAACGAATTTAGAATCAAGAAGCAGTATTAGATTTTAAACAATATCTCAACAATGTGTGACTCTTTATCAAATCTAACGGTACGTATGGAAAGGTGAATAAATTTAAAAGTCATCTTTGACAGAAATATTCATTTTTTTTGTTTAAAATCGTTCATAAAAGAGAGGGAAAGCGCGGGTTGTGCTTTGTAGGACGGAAATCAGATCAAAAACCCTACAGAAAGTGGCGAATAAATGCAGTTAAAGAAAAGTGAAAGTTCTTCGTTTTTGTATCACGAAACCCTCTGATTACTCGGTAGCTAGCCGACCCTGGGTGTTCCGGAGCTTGCTCTTGTCGCCTGAGTCAACCGGGTGCTGTATGTTCGATCTTCGAGTAGGTAGTTGGTGAGTGCTGAGTTCTACCATCAGTTATAAGACAAACGTACGAACGAATAGGATGCCCAATAGGTGAATTTTAAGAAAACGTCACTAGTATTCATGTATGTTTTAAATAAATATTTACGAAGAAACCTTAAAACCTACAAGATTACTTCCAAGGACAAAAATCTTTTGAACTGTATGGAGAATGTTCTGTAAAACAAATAAATAAACAGTAATGAAAATTTTCAACTTCAAAACACGTAATTTGCAAAGTTTAAGGTACTTCCAACATCATTTTCAATTTTTATGTATCATAATTAACATTAATCGAGGTTCTCTCAAAAGAGCTTCAACAGATAAAACTTCAATCTTTCATTTAGTTTGATTAAATCAGAAATACACATTAAGATTGAAACTAACCAAATTTAGCTCTGAAAAAAACATTGAATGCTGCCCTTAGCAGTCATTTCCAACCTTATGTTTCATTGGGATTTTTTCATAACTGAAAATACATAAAACTCAAAACCAAACACCCTGCATTGAATTGGATCCACTTTTTGATAGATTGAAATTCTATCCGCAAGACTATAAATATATTCATTACACTATAAAAAAAATAATGTTCAGTAAGATATTCCTTAACCTTTGATTCATTTGATTCCTTACAGGCACTCATGGCCGTGTTTGTAATAAAACTTCATCCGGATTAGACGGCTGTGCTATTCTCTGCTGTGGACGAGGTTACAATACAAAAAAAATCGTAGTTAAGGAACGATGCAACTGTAAATTTCAGTGGTGCTGCCAGGTCAAGTGTGATATATGTACCAGGCATATAGAAGAGTACACGTGTAAATAAATACCTTAAGAATACCTATACATTAAATTGCGTGAATTTTCGGTGATATAATAAATGCGAGAATGCACTAACACTTTGGTTGAGCATATTAACACATGATGGTACGAGTGCTGTACTGCCTATAATTGCATATCAGTCCCATATGGATTTTCGTCAATTTTGAGATAACACAATGCTATCCACTATTATCAACTGGCATCTACTTCCATATTTTGTGATAACGGACCATGATTATGAAAAATGTGAAATCAACATCAAGACAGTTTGTCCCATCAAGCAAAAAAATCGCATCAGGTCCATCCTTAAATTAAATCCATAGTTCAAGTTAAGGTTCTGCTATTCGAATTGCTATATTTTTCGTTGATATAACAAAAAAATATTTTAACTAGAAAAACGATTTTTCAAATATTTAAGTACATTGGAATTGCACTTCCTAACTTCGATGGCCATTTCTCAATGCTTATTTTTCCATATGGGACTGATATGCGATTATAGGCAGTGTACTCAATTAACCAATTACTGCCATCTAGGTAATAGAATACAGGAATGCAGTGCTCGAACAACCATGACATTGACTGTCCAGGGTATAATGATTTCTTACCAATTCTCTGTATCAAGTTTCTGAGGCCCACTTAAAAAAAATTAGTGACATTTTTCACGCAAATAACAATACAAACCAGAACACATGTCAATGAGAAAAGTGACAAAGCGGCATCCATTAAGGCCACGTCCACGTAACACATTTATTTGTTGACCCACTGCCTCCCCTTTGTAACAAAACGTAAAGCGAAAAATAACCCCCTCTATTTATTACGTAACGCTCATAAAGCTCTTTTCCGCACTCATTTCCTGAAATTCAGATTTTGCAATAAATTTTTGATTTGGTTATAATTTGTTTATTTCAAGGTAAATTAACATATTCAAAACAAAAACAAAAGTTCATGGAGTTCCTGCGTTCCAAAAGTTTAACGAAAGCAATAAACTCAAGATAGAAAATTGAAACACATTCATTGTACTAGCAAGATTTAGTGATGACATTAGTTTTTTCAAACTTTACATAAGAGCAACAAATAATCGTCATTTTGATTGTTTTCTCTGTGTTACATAACGCAAAGCTATACTTAAAGGTGACACCCTCCCGTCCTATAAGCGTTACGTAATTTATGGACGCCGCCCAATGTGAATTTAACGTCTCTTGTATTCTAACCTGGTTTCTTAAGCTGTTCTCATACAACAGCCAGTATGACGTCACACTTGCAGTTGCATAAGGTCAGCGTTCGAATAAAAGAGACGACAAATTAATTTTGCCAGACCTCCTCTTCTTGACAAGCAGCCAGCGCAGTGTCGAAATAAAAGATCATCGACGTAAATGAATCATTCAATTAACTTTAGAAAAGAGCGATAGGACTTGACTGTAATTTTATGTATGTGTGTATTGCGAAATGTGTCAAGATAATATTTATTTATTTGAGCATAGTGTGAATGTATTACGAAAGGTTGGTAAAAGCTATCCCAAAGTGATTAAATTGTTTGACATGTGCTATATTAGTAACTATATGTGGTTAAATCTGATCTGACTCATTTGTATTTAAAAACAAGAACATATCTTAAATTGTCCAATTGACCACTTTGTCAAGCAGTTTTGGCGTGACTTTCTACCAGCGATTTCACAAAACTGGACCAACTAAGTTCTATTCGTTTATGAAAGCACAAATGTTGGCTCAAAATCTCAAAATAATATTTTACTTCAAAGTTCGAGTGGTAGCAAACGTCACTTCAACTGCTCGAATAAAGTGGTTAATTTCTTCAGAAAAATAAGCAAAAGTACTCGAAAGTTGAGTTAATGTATGTTCAAATCAGGTATAAGTTGTATGAAGTATTTGTCAATCAGTATATATTATTTTAACACTAGTTCGTATCTTGTTTGTGACAAATTTCTTAATCCATCATATGAAATTAATACAATACCCTTTGTCAAATCAAAATTGAAATTATTAATTTTATTGTAAAACCTGTACATAAAATACAACGGTTTGTGTTTCAAAACAGTATTATTAGATACTTCAAAGCACGAATTTTGCTAGCTATCTATTCATTAAGTTTATATTAGAAAATTAATTGCAACTTTCCATATAAATAGTTGAACGAATATTTATTATAGATGTAAATTAAACACAATCAGACTGCATGTAAACACAAATACATACATAATGTACACAACAGCTAAATCAAAGTATTGTTTTTGGTAGAAATGTTTACAATTTTACAACTATTTAGATATGAGCAGACTTATCCTTTGAATATGTTCATTACCAATCTCAGCCAACGTGTATGTAGAATACTGTTAAGACAACTACAATTTTATTATAAAGGCTGACTAAAAGTTAATTGGTACGCACAAAATTATCTGAAATTCGTGATTCAATAAGTTTAAAAAGTCAATGTATGGTTGCTTTACAGTAGTTTTATTAAAACCTCAAAGCTACGGCATAATATTGTAACATTTCTCTATTTCGAACGAAATCTCGAACCTTCCTCTTTATGGAGCCTATCAGCGCCCGCATAGTGGAAACGGACACGGAATCAGCGCATTTCTTCCATTTTGCCCGCATTTGATGGATATCCTTGACCGCTTCTTTGAAATTGCCAGTATTTTTTCGATTGGTCGAAATTCCGGGTGATTCGGAGGATTCATTAGCTTGGGGACGAAATCAATCTTGCTGGACAAGGAGCATAACGCTCCAGAACCACCTTGCAGTAGTGGCAGCTGGCCAAATCGGGTCAAAAATTACTTTGCCCCTATGCTTGCGGATAGACGGCAATACACGCTTTTTCAGGCATTCTTCGATGTAAACTTAGGATGTCATCGTCGAGGATGTGACGAATGGTTCCGTTTTCAGAATCTTTCTTGAATCTTCCCGGCAAATCCCGACGTCCAGTCGCGATGTAAAACTTTTGACTGGGAAGCAGCTTAAAATCGAATTTGACGTATGGCTCGTCATAGCTCAAAGTGCAGTCCTTGTGTTTCGTCAAAACACGGTCGTACAAGAGCCTTGCACTTGCCTTGATGTTCCGCACCGTTTGAAAGTTGCCGTTGTACCAACAATCAATACGAAACTAACGATTTTAAATTGGCTCACTACTTGACTAGCCTATTGGTCCCAAGCAGACGATTAACGTACCCCATTCTAGTCGAAATTCTAGTACTACGCAATGTTTGTTTTGATTCGCTATGAAATTTTGACAGATAAAATGAGGGGTTATTGGTTTTTCTTATGTTTCGAGGGCTGAATCGATTAGCTTGGGACCGAAGAGAGTACCAGAGCTGAGCCAAAAAGTTGAGCACGTTATTTCGGGACCATCTAGTCTTAGAGTTACCTCTATGGTTGTACAGCTCGGATCGAAAGACCGGGGTTTGCTTCATCGCACCTCAACACCTTGCTGCGCAACTGACGATCCCTGGTTTCAGTTTTTTTGTAGGTCCGCCGATTCCTTTCCACACTCTGGGTTTCCTTGTAGGTTTTGAGCACTCGACAAACTGTTGTTTTTGGCATTTTCAGCACTTTAGCCAGCTAGGAACCGGACCACTCCGGATTTTCCAGGTGTTTGTGTACAATATTTTTTCTTCTTCGAGTTCCATTTGACGTTATTTCTGAACGCGATCGACTACTTTGATCAAACTTGCACCAGTTGTTCTGTATAGAAGTGTAGACAAACCACTGTCAAAGATTTTCAATTCCCAACACTAGAGGCGTGCTACTGGCGTGCGAGGGGTATACCAATTTACTTTCTGTCAGCATTTAGTCTATTTATTTCTGAAGCACAATAGGTATATCAGTTGATACTAACCTATATTGAAATCTGTACAGTGTGTCTGGAACTAGATGAATAATATCTTTTGAAAAGTAACAATGAGGCGATGTATAATGAGACAGGAAACAAAAATGTATTCATATTACTTCGGAGCACTTCATAATAAAGTCACACAATAATCAATATTACGATTTATGTGATTGTACGTAATTTTCCGAAAAACCAATTCTTAAAAAAGTAATCCCCAAATATCAAATTACTGTATTTCGCTACATGTCGGATTTTGATTAGTAAATTAAAGAACTGTCAAAACTTTACTAAAAATACAAGGTGAGTACATATAGGAGTCAAATTCATGTGAGTACGTGTCAAATTCATGATTCAGCCATGTTGGAGTTTGGAATAGAGGAGCGACCGAGTTTGTATACAATTTCCTCTAAACCCACTCCCTCCCGCGATAAAGTTACAAAGCTACATCACCATTCTATACCCACCACGTAAAAATTAAAACTCTTGGTTTGCGTTGACATTAGACTGATGCAAAATTTAAAATTTTCGTTCCACTGTGCTTAAACGGTTCCAAATTGGATCCTGATTAGCCTCCCAAAATTTGAAATTATTAAGTAAGAAACTGACTTGGCACAAACCATTTGAAGTTTACATAGAAATTACTATGGGAAAACCAAAAACAATATGCAATATGGAAAAAGGCTGGAAGACAGTGAACAAAAAGTTTGGGTTTCCCATAATAATATCCATATAAACTTTAATTGGTTTTGTGCCAATTTAGTTTCTCATCAAATGAGTATAAATTTTGGGAGGCTAATCAGGACCCGATTTGGAACCGTTTGAGTACTGTGGAGCGAACATTTCAAATTTTGCATCAGTCTAGTGGGCATACTTCGGTTCGTGGGAAAAGGACCTAACAAGTTGTTTACAATAGTTGACAGATCATTTTCAAATGTTTCGCGAGCATTATTCATGTGTTCATCTTAATGGAATATAAATTTGTTATTCATTTCTACTTGAGATAAAAAATCCTACAAGAAGAGAGGGAAAGCGAATTCTCTCACCACAGCGATAGGCATAAGCAACTGTAACAGACCGCGCGGATTCAAATGTTTTATATATCGCTAAATAGATAGGACAGTGTGATACAATGCAGTAGTAGTAGTTACCTCTATGCCCCGTAACGTGGGTAGATCACCTTTTCGTGGTACGTTACGGGATGTAAGATCTACCACCGATTCCTAGTCCTGACTACTTCAAACTA